CACCTGAAGCTTCGTTGTTGGAAAAGCCGTTATCCTACAATTTGATGTTGTCAAACGGTCTTCCTATTTTGATGAGCTTATATCAATTTCGAAGCCGGCTCGACGTAGACGATTCCAACTTAGGCCCTAAGATGCCGAATTCCAACATTCATTTAAGCCTTCAAAGTCTTAAAGAACGATGCATATCAAAGATTTATTATCAGTCGTCATTTCGACCTACTTCTCCGTTTCGCCCCTAATCTACACAAACCTATTTACTAAGCCATCCACTCCATTTAAAAAATTATAGAATAGACCACTGCATTTCTCATAAGAGGGGACCCAAGCAATGAAGAAGAAGAGAAGAAGAAAGAGAAGGTTGAGAGATCAGCTTCCTCCGTCACTCGACCGCCGAAGTTTCTCCCGGCCGCTTCCGATTACATCGGCAGAATTCTTGTCGGTACATTAATGTGAAAACGCTAAAATTCTGCCCAAACTTCCATCGTGGATGCTGAAATTTGTCCGAAGTTAACGAGATGAGTTCGCCCCATTACGTCAAAACTCCACCAAAGTTGATACCGGTAGTTCCTTCCTCGTGGCCTTCCCTAATAGGACGTTCACCTTCTATCCCGACGCTTGGACCTGTCACTCGATCACCAAGTTTCTACCTTACTGCCCGTACTTCTACCGGTTTATCGGACTTTTCGTTAAACAATTATCCGAAGATAATTTTTTTCCATTGGGACTTCTACCTGACGTTATCCTTCTGGCCATTCGTCATCAGACAACAAGTTCTTCTGGACCTCCGTCGTGTCAGCCGATCTACGGTCCTCCTAACTTAAGTCGTTCTGTCCTACTACAGTCTTTTCGACATCCGTTTCGCCCGTCGACGTACAGCTCCTCCTGACTTACGCTCCAGCCTACAAGTATTTCCGAGCTCCGTTCGCCTCCCCGTATTTTCCCCCTTTTCAATGTGTTTTCCACTGTAAAATAATCTTTGTTTTCTCATAAACTTAAATCCCTTTCTTCTTATCTTATTGCTGTCCGGTATTTTCGTACAACGGTAAGACGTTAAAACTTTAATTTCTTGCTTACCGCCCGATATACTCCTTGGACCGTCAACAATTATACTAGTCTAAATATAACTTTTCATCACAAAGTTGTTTGAATAAGTTACTTAGAAAGCACTAACAAATAAATTTATTAATTTGAAATGTAAACTAGGGAGAATGTTATGATTATATTTGGTATTGTTTGTTATTTTATAAAAAGTTGTTTATGGGTATTTTTTTTTTTGAATAATTGTACTAAAAAATCTTTCTAATATAAATAATTTTTAAAGAACTTTCTAGAATAGTGAAATTTCTATAAAGCCGTCAAAATAAGATAAATAGCTAAATAGATAGAAAACACCAGCGCAATAACGTTTAAGAAATTTATGTTAATAAAAAAGCAAATTTTACGATCATTTGAAATATAAAAAAAATTATTCTTCACAACATTTTTAAATCATCTTTATAATTAAAAGCAACGATCATTACCAAACATTTATCTAATGAATTCATTCATTTATATAAAACTAATTAATCATTTTTTCTATAATATAATCCTTATAGGGGTCCAACCAGGGGTGTCAATTCGTGGTCACGTTGGTTGTGTCGGGTCGAACCCAAACTGACCTCGGGTTGGATAAACCGGTGTCACCCTATATCCCGACTTCCGGTAGAGAAACGTGGTTTCTTGATAAATCCGATATACCCGGACTCCTGACCCCAGTTGACGACACGACTGAACTCCCCCCCACGTCCCTCCCTCCTTAGGGCACCGCCGACTGGCCTGGCTGCAGCGTGCTTACGGGGTTGTGGCAGCAGGCGACGCTTGCGCTTGGCGCGGGAGGGGTGCAGGTGGGGGCGGGGGGCAGCGGGGGGGCAGCGGCGCGTCACGCGTGTGGTGGCAGCGGGGCGGTGAGCAGCGCGTCCAGCATGGGCAGCGGGGCAGCGGGGGCGGCTGGGGCGGGACGCAGCGCTGTGCAGCGGCCGGCAGCTGCTGGGGGGGGGCAAGAGGGCGCGTGAATTTCAGAATTTTTTGAATTAAAGGGTTTGGCGGTTGACCGGCAACCCGCCGGTCAACCCGAACCCGACCCGTTCTGAAATCGGGTCTGGGTCTCGAACCCGGGCGTCCGGGTCGGCATGTTCTGTCGTGTGTTCAAATAAAATTGACACCCCTAGGTCCACACCAACTTTAGCCCAAATGCAATTGAGTTAATGAAGCTGTGTGGTAACTCTACTAAAGCCGCACATTGATTTTTCCTAGTGCAGTCAATATCTAAGCTTACTAAATCTTCTGGTTCATAAACTTGAAATCCATAGATATTATAAATGTTGTCTTATTAGGTACACCAAAAACCTAGTTGGTAAGCCTATACAAGTCTATGGTGGACTATGATATAATGAAATTGAGTGCATTTCTATTAATAATTAAAATTAAATGTACCATTTTTTTTATATGATTTTGTATATTCATAAATCCAATATATAGTAAATATTGAAATAAGAGAATAGAGATGAGAGAGAGAAATGAATTAGACTTAATCCCACAAAAAAATGCCTCTACCAAAAAAGCTACATGATCAATCTTCAATGCTACTGCAGAAATTTATATATTTAATTAATAATAGAAAATATCACGCAATTTAGAAAGATAAATGTAAGTGAGAATCAACTTCAATTATTATACCAGAAATATATGGAAATTTTTTTATTTTTTTACTTCAAAATGTAGAGAATTTATTGCCATTTTAGAGATTTATTGCACAAATGTTTGAGTCTATGCTACATACTAAATTCTAATTGGATGTCCATATATTATAACCCCTATTAATAAATAAGAAAACTATCACAAATAAAATCTTAAACCAATGTGCTAACCTAACATATATGTCATACAAGATATTATAATAATATGAATAACTCATAAAAGATATTATAAATAAAAAGAGCAGTTATCAGTGATAAATTTTTGTAGAAAAAAGAAAAAGTTTGCAACAGAGATAAAGATAAGATCAGAATGATTGACAAGAAAATATAAGGGCCCAATTTGCTTCTGCAACTTACAAATATAATTAAGATAGATAAATTTAATACATTTCCTTTTATTGGATAATAAAATTATATATTTTTTATAAAAACAAAATTAAATTATTATGAAACTGCCTCAAGCATACCATAAAGATCAAATTAATTGTATTTGAAGTCCACTCATCATTTCTTACTAATCATAATAAATTCATCAAAAGCATCCTATCAATCATATTTTGATAGGCAAACTTAAGTTTCTTATGACTCTAAAATAACTTTTTATTATTAAAAAAATGAATGTGTTCATAGATATAGACTTAGGCTTCGTTTGAGGCGGCTTTCTAACTGCTTCTTAAAGCAACTTTTTAAAATTCTTGTACTAGAAAGCTACTTTAAGAAGCAGTGAGAAAGCCGCCCCAAAAGAAGCCTTAGGCTCGTTTAGGGCGGCTTTCTCACTACTTCTTGAAGCAGCTTTTTAGTACAAGAAATAATTTTTTTCTACAGGAAAGGTGCTTTAAGAAGCAATAAGAAAGCTGTATCAAACAAAATTTTAGTTCGGGACAACTTTTTTACTGTTTCTTAAAATAACTTTTTAATAAGTTGTTCTAAGAAGCAAAAAAAAAAAAAAAACTTCCCAAACGAAATGATAATTGAAATATTTGAATGCTTATGTAATAAAAGATCTCATGAGAAATTATAATTGCATCAAATAACATTTAAATTAACTATGGTATATAAACCTAAAGGCTGATAATAAAATAACTATGTAATATTATTTAACTAAGCAAAAAATATGAAGGATTAAAATAAAAGAAAAATGATTGCAACACAAATAAGAGAGTAACCCAAAGATAAAAAAGAAGAAGAAATTAGAAATGTTTACAGACAAGACACCGACAGCCAAATAGATAAGATAAGAAGGAATGACAAGTAACCAAGAACAACTCAGCTACTGGGAATAAAAAAAAAACTAAGGGCCCATTAAAGAGCTCTTGGTAAATTAAGACATTTATGTAACTGAATTAATCAGAAATCAATATTGATTATTAGTAGAAGAAAGCAAAGAAACAATCGCTGTCCGTGACTGCAATAATTCGTAAAAGCAATTTAAAAAAAACTATGAGAGCTTAAAAAAGCTAAGGCAGCTTTTCTAAAACTACCAAACTCAATAATAGATCCGTTGGTTAAAAAGCACCCGACCATACAAATTTTTAATAGGAGAGGATTTTGGCAGCTATTTTAGAAAGCAAAATGGTTAGAAAGCTATCCCAAACGCATCCTAAAGGACAAATCACTTTGAAGTTTGAGTCCATTCAACATTTCCTTGTGGTACTAAGGAATTGGCTCAGGTTGCTTACCTTTGCCAAGCAGACTCTCACACTCGTGAAATTATTATGTGCGAACGCTGAACATCATCCAGAGGAACTTTTATTACGTCCTCTGACCGGACATAGCTCTACGTTCGGTCAGAGGATTGTTACTCGGTTTTTGCTCGGTATTTGGTCGGTATTGCTAAGTATTATTTGATAATAACGAGGAATATCGCTATGTGAAGATCAATACCGAGCAATATCGAGCAACACCGAGTAATCTCAAAAAAATACCGAGTTTTTTCTAGTTTATTTTTTTTGGGATTACTCGGCATTGCTCGGTATTACTCGGTATTTGGTCTTCACATAATGGTATTCTCGTTATTGTTGGTATTGCTCGGTATTTCTAGTTTTGTGCCTGCAATCTTAGTCCAAAGACCAACCAAAATGCGCCGCGTCACCCCCGCTCGGTACTGCTAACATGGTGCATTCTGGTTGGTCTCCAGACGGAGAAGTGCGTTCGGCGTCCGCACAAAATAATTTCTCCTCAGTCTTATGCCTGATTCATGGTTCAAAGATGCAAAATAGCTACAAAAAATATGCTAGCAAGCAAGAAAACGCCATTTCCAGCAAATAAATCAAAACTATAACATATAACATTAAACGGAAAGGAGATCACATTAATAAGCAGATCCAACAATTAACAATCTAATAAACAGAATAGAAATATCCTACAGCATAAGCCTAAGTACATTCCCAATGAGTAGAGAAAAAAGGCAATAGTTCATATGGGTTTTAAATTAAAAGCTCTAATTGCTGACAAACACGATATAAGATTCGAGTTTCATGACAATGTTAGGAAGAAATCAGAATTTACCGGATGTACATATTTGAACGCCTTCCATAGCCACCTCTGTCTGGACTGCCATAAGGGGAATTTGGCAGGGACCTGGACCGTTCCCTTCTAGATCTGCCGGCATACGGCGAGTAGCGAGGAGGAGGAGAATAATCACGGCCGCCCCGGTAAGGCGAGCGCCGCGGAGACCTGCGATAACCCCCATAATAATCCTCCCTTCCATATCCTCCGCGGAACCTGCCACGATCACGATCGTAACGGTAACCTGCAACAAGGGGAACAAATGGACTTGAGAAATTGTTCTGGAATGAACTCAATTATAGATAGGATTTACCAGTATAGCAGAGAAGATTCTACTCACTAGATTCACGGGAATTCTTCAGACCAAGATACTGTCCAGGTGTAGGTGTCCTTGGACGTTTTCTTCTTGACTGAAAGAGGAGTAAAAAAAGCCTTGAAACCAATAAAATGTTAATCATAATAAATAAAAATACTGAGATAAGTTGGAGGTGAATATTGTAGCAGACAATCAAGTTCTTAGATCCTCTGAGAAGAAAGATGATGAAAGGATGGCCAAACATTTATAGAAACTAGGAAATTATGAGGACCTTGGCATGCCTAATAGCATCATTAAATGAATGCCAGATATAAGATACCATAAAATGTCTGATTACAGAGTTGGTAATGTCCGTTGTTGATTAGTTGTTGGGGGGTGAATGCTGAAGTTTAGTTGAACAATTTTGCTATGTTAAGTTGATGTGATGATTCATGGAAAACGATTAGGCTGTTGCGATTCATCAATCTGTAAGAATAAGTTGGGATGAAGGACTGGTCATCTTTGATTGCTGCCAACATAGCTGACGCAATTGACTTCTGAATATAACCAAAAACCTTCAAGTCAAACAAGAGATGAACATACAAAGGTTCTCTGTTTTCTCATTTGATAACCATGTAAAGAACTTTACCTTCTCAACAGTTATGTACCGACCCTCCAAAACCGACTGATTAAGATATTTGATACAACGATCAGCAGCTTCGACGGTTTCCATGGAAAGAAATGCAAAACCCCGGGAGATTCGGGTACGGGGTTCCACAATCAAGCGACACTCAGTGACCTGGGAGAACATTAACAGAATAAAAAGTTAAACAAATTCATAATATATATATATATATATATATATATATATATGCAGACTAACCTTTCCCTCCTTCGAAAAATGCTCCTCAAGGTCTCTTTCGGTAACCCTGGAAGAAAGGCCAGTTATGTAAAGAGTATTGCCAACATTCACAGCATCAGTCCTGCAATTCAAGTGATGGCATTGCTTGCTATATCAAATTGCAAAAGAAAGCAAGAAAATTGAAAGCAATCAGTTCGTTGCAGGTATAAACCTGGTATGACTTGGAGATTGGGACCTTGACCTGCTCCTAAGGCGGGGGGACCGAGACCTGGACTGCGATCGTCCTCTTGATCGTGATCTTGACCTCCCTTTGTAAGGCAAAGGTGACCGTGAGTACCTGAAATGCCAAAAAAAACAAATCATAAGCTCAAAAGCATTAGTGTGTGTGATTGATGTTGTTAAAATTAAATTATTGAATTTAAGGCCTTGTTGCCTCAAAGAAAATATAGGCGTTAAAGTTCAGTAAATAAAAAGGAGAAAAATGGTTAAAGACACTGCATTAAACTTTACTGTATTGTTTGAAGCGAACAATTGTCAATATATAGTAACAAGTAAACATCAAGTTGACAGTTCTGAGTGCCGATCAACTGACAACTGAATGTAATTTGGATTGAAACCTTATGGCCTATCAACATCTATGAAAAAGACTTGTAATCAAAATAAATTTGAACAATCCAGTAAAAACCCACAGACCAACAAACGTTTAACATAACTTAGCAACAAGTAACAGCAAGGCAAATAATGATCACCACAAAAGCATAAAATCTTTTCATCTTTTAACAAATTCTTCACGCAGTAAAACATTCTAGTCATAACAAAGATTATAATTTGTTAGATCAATCTGCACCACTAAGTTGCTCAGCCACCAATCATGCTATGACATGCAAATAACGCACCAGGGCCCTGCAAACCATTTGTTTTAGATGGGAAAGAGTAAGACAGAGAGGAGGCATTCAAAGATGAAAAGTTGAACCTCATTATTATAACTATTAAATTTAGGTTTTGGTTTTAAAAAAAAAGCAGTAAGGCTGCACACTACTAAGAGTCAAGTTCTCATTTAAATCTAATAAAAAATGTCATTTCTAATTATTAACCAAGTCTTTTTATGTCTACCTCTACCTCTCTTAATATAGGTCAAATCTAATATATCTACACTCCTAACCGGGTCATCTGATGAAGACCAACACTTTATGTGAACAAACCAAGCAACTCATCCACCTGAGCATCCGCATCTCTGCAACATTTAATTGTATGCTTTTCTTTTAATGACCAATATTTTGAACCATAAAGCATTATAGGTCTCACCACCATCTTATAGAATTTTCTCTTAAGTTTGAGGGGTACTTTTCTATCACACAACATACCCGATGCATTCCTTCCATTCAATAATATCCTCATTTACTTCACCATCACTCTAAACAATAGACCAAAGATATCTAAAACATGTACTCCTATTAATGACTTGATTGCCCAAAGCCACAATTCCCCCGATAGATCTATTACTACTAAAATTACACTACATATACTCAATGTAAGTTTAAGACTCTAAGGTTGACCTCCATAATTTAAGTTTACCTTCAACTCCCTCTCCAGTCTTATCAACAAGAAGAATATCATCCGCGAAAAGCATACACCATGGTACATCCTCCTGCAAATGTCTAATAAGAACATCTAAAGCAAAAAGATATGAGCTTAAAGCTGGTCCTTAATGTAATCCAACTGAAATAGAAAAATACTTGGTCCAACCTCCGTGTATTTGAATACAAGTAACAGCTCCTGCGTACATATCCTTAATGACTCGAGTATAAGCATAGTTAACCCCTTTCTTTTCTAAAACTCTCTAGTACTTCTCTTGAAACTTTATCACAAGCTTAATGTAAATCAATAAATATCATATGCAGGTTCTCCTTATTCTCCATATACTTCTTCATCAAACCTCTCAAGAATAGTAGACCTACTCGGCAAGAATCCATAACAATTTTGAGAAACATTAGTATCACCACGTAACCTATGCTCAATAACTCTCTTCCAAAGTTTTAAAGTATAATACATTAACTTAATCCATCTATAATTCACTCTTATGCATCACCTTTATTCTTAAAAAAAAAAAAAAGAATCAACACACTCTTCCACTCATTCGACATCTTTTTACTCTTCAAAATAATATTGAAAAGTTTCGTAAGCTGAAAAATTCATTCATCTCATAAGCATTTACACACCTCTATTGGAATATTATCAAATCCAACAGCTTTTCCACACTTCATTTTCTTTAAAATCAATTATATTCCGATAATTTAGTTGAAGTGTGGAATATAATTGTGGACAACCGTATAGCTTTTCCACACTCCAAAATTTAGTTTAATAATATGACAATAACAATAAAAATCTCTACTTTTATTTAGGATGCTCAGGTCACTAAAATCAATTATATTCTCACAATCTTCTTTAAAAAGCTTATCAATATATCTCATCCATCTTTGTTGATCATCCTCTTTTAATAAAAGCACTTTTTGATCTTCATCCTTAATGCACTTCATTTGAATTAAATCCTAACTTCTCCTATCTCTTTATTGGACTAATTTATACATACATCTTTCACCCTCTTTAATATACAATATGTTATATAAATCATCAAAACCTTAATTCCTTGCATCACATATTAATTTTTTAGGCTCCTTACGAGACTCTTTATATCTTTTCCAATTTTTTGAGTATTTACCCAAAACAAATTTTTATAACAAAGCTTTTTATTTTTATATTTCCTTACACATTTTGATTATGTCACCAACTACTTTTAAGCTTTTCTTTTCTATACTCTAAGCACATCCATTACCAGAATCTTGATATCATTAACTACTTTTTCTCACATAAAATTAACTTTCTCATAGAGAGGCATAATCTTACTATTTTGAATCTTTTTTCTTAAAAATATTTTTAATTAACACTATTTAAATGCCCCCATCTAATACTAGGATAATATTTTACTTTATTTTTCATATTCCTCCATTTCATCTTAAAATCCAAAACTAAAAAGTGATGCTATGTACATAAACTTTCACTCGGAATAACTTTATAATCTATACAATTTAAACAATCTATTTTTCTTATAAAAAAATAATAAATATGAGTGCACATCCTTTGCACCAATCTTATATCATTAACTACTTGTTCTTACATAGCATTACCTTCCTCATGTACAGACATAATCTTACTATTTTAAATCTTTCTCAAAAAAAAAAAAGTGTTATTTAAATGCCCCCATCTAATACTAGGATAACATTTTACTTAAATTATTCATATTTTGTCCCTTCATCTTAAAGTCCATAACTAATAAGTAATGTTATGTATATAAATTCTTACTTGGAATAACTTTTCAATCTATGCAAAAATATCAAATCTGAGTTCTACTATATCCAATCTTATAAGCGATGAGATGCTCCTCTATTTTCTTAAATAAAGTATTAGTAATTATAAAATCATAAGCTTAGTCGCTCCAAACTCATAGCTACCATGGATGTCTTTAAAATCTTCTACTACTCCAAACTCCAAGAATTATTATTCAATAGTGATGTCACATTTGGCCTATCACCAGTCTTCCAAACTCCTCGATATTCAATTGATCAAACATATATTGTTAGAGTATCTTCAATTATTTGTCATACATGCCCACACTAAGTCTATTTTCCACCAACTGTTAAATACATATTAATCTCAACGCAATTCTATATGATTTCTCAATGAATCACACAACTATCTCAACTTTCCAATTTTTGCGTCATTCAACTTGATCGCCTTTCACTTTTTTTTATGCCCAAAATTCAAACCCACATGAAAAAAGTAGTCTAATTCCAACTTTATAACTTCTTTATGAAATCAAATGATATTCTCTCATCCAATAATTTAAACATTAAGTCTGCATCTATATCACAATTCTTCCAAATCATAAATCCAATGCCTTAACTACTATCAAACCTAAAAATCATCATAATCTTCTAGTAATATTAATGGAGAGCTTTATCAAATATAGACCTACTAAAAGCCAATATATTGTACACAAATTTTTCTAGTATAAATCCTGAGCCATATATATTGTAAAAATCTTCTCAGCTATGCCAACTTCACACTTAATTCAATAGAAGTATTGCCTATCCAACTATGACATTTGCTATTTTACACCAAAATATATCACATTGAATAAACTTTATAAGCATTTTCATAGCAATACAAATCACACATGTTTTATGCTAATCTTTAATATAGTCCCATGTTACTGAAAATTATTTGGCTATTACACGTTACGGAACTATTTGGATATAACAAGTTTGGCTATAATTTAAATTTTTCTCCAAGAACAACCAAATCTCAAACAACTTCTCATCTTCTAAATTATATCATTTTTCCCAAGAAATGATATTTTACGGCTTTCTTTGTATTTGTACAGATACAAAACCATTATTCTACATTGAATGAATAAACGCACTTAGAATCACCTTAAAATCTTCATAAAAGCGTAACAAAAGCTAGTCATAGTTTTCAAGATTCACATTTAAAAGTAACTAAGTACTCTCTCTCTCTCTCTCATTTCTTAAACAAGTATTAATTAATTTAATATAATATATGATTAAAAATATAGGTTAAAGCTTTCACATCACAATTCCACCACCTATTCCACACTGATCACAAAAACTCTTTCAGGCTATCCTAGTAAAGTCCATGTTAATTTAAGTAACCACAAATACTTATATTCCCTAACACAAATGCAAGTTGTCATGATTCATTCATGTCTTCCCAAAAGCTTTTTTTTTCCAACTGTCATCTAATCCAACTTAAAGAACATAAGCTTTAAAATTTTTCTAATGCCCTCATTTCATAAGGTGTATGTTAGCTATTTTAAGAACATATGTAATGGTAACCCAAGTATACTTGTTAACAAAAATTTTCAAACTAATCCAACTTTAAACCAAGTATATTGCATCACCTAATCCAACAGCTCTATCATTTTAAAGTTTTTTTTTCCCAAAAAATCATATAATCCATATATAATTGTTATGTATTCCTCCCTTTCAGACTAAAAAAAACATCCCAGCTACACATTTTCCCAAAATGTTTTTATGGGAATGTTCATTTAATGAACCGCCCATGTCTGCATGATATATCTATCATATCTATAACAAAGGAATATAAATCATCATTATCAAATAATAATACCAACAATTAGATCAATGACAGTCTACAGCTATGAGAACCACAGACCATCTCATTCAGTATTTCCAATATTGGCATGTAATGGGAAACTCATATTATTTCCAATATAACATTGTGACAAAAAATACTGTAAATTGGATGAAATGGGAAACTTATACAGATCAGCAACTCCAATAGGAACTTAAATGGAAGGGATACACGCAGCATATTGAAAAAACTATAAATCCTGATAGATCTACAAAATATTCAATATTTCGTGCATGTTTCCGACCATGGACAAACTTCTATCCAGGGATTCACACAAAACATGTACCATAGCTTGATTTTTTTTTCTATATATCCCATTCAAGCACAAAAACAAAATCAAACTATTCTAAAGAAAATCAAGAAAACTTAACCGCCATCAAACCAAACGAAAAATTACAATCAAAATATGAAAAGGTTAGGAAAGGTGCCAAGTTCTCGGAGCAAAACTTGAGCCATATGCAAATAAATAAATAAATGCACCCTAAATTAGAAAACAAATACATACTTCCCAGAGAGATGTAAAAACAAGCAACAAAAGCGTAGAAAAGAAGATCCTGCAACAACAAAAAATCTCAATTGAGAGAGAATATGGAGATTAAATTTTACCTTCTGTGCGGAGATTCAGCCTGTATGCGGCGTAGATGAAGAAAAAACAGATAAACATTAGAGACAAAAATCAAAGAAGAATGTTAGATCAAATCATAGAAAGAGAAGTACCATGATCGAAAATTTCCCTCGAGCACGGAAAAATAATTTGCTTGGCTCCGACGAAATTAGGGTTTTCGGTCTTCGCCGAAGTTAGCTTTTATACTAAACTCTTAATCACGTGCCGCAAACGTGAGGCATTTTATGGAAAAATAATTGTTTTTTGTCTCCATTTTTTAAATTAACATGAAATTAAGATGATATGATAATCAACTAAATTTATACTATTTTGAATTTTAAATTAAATTTAATAATTTTTTAGACTTATTATAATTACAATTAAATTTGAATATTTGATCCAAATTTTTTTATAAAATTTGATAATAATTGTAATATTAGCTCAACTCAATTTATACATCATTTTATGTTGTGATAAATATTTTTAATTGGCACTTATATACATAAAAATATATAAAAAATATTATATGATTATGGGAATAATACATATTATCAAATAAAATATTTTAAATTTTTTATCAAAATGAATATTATGTCTCTTTTTATAAATATATAAATAATACATGTTTTAATTTATTTTGTTCATAAAGTTAAAAATAAATATATTTAAAGATTATTTAGAATATTAAAAAATAAAGTTATTCAAATAAAAAACAATGATGCAAAATATTCATAAAATGTTTAATAATTTAATTTTGAACATTTAAAATATGTATTTTCATTTATATATTTTGAATTAATAATTATTTTATAAATAAAATAGACTTTCCTTATGAAATATGAATAATTCTCTCTATAAATAGCACCAATCTTAATTGTAGCAAAAGGAGTTAAAGAAAGAACATATTTTATAGCTCAACAATCTTATAAAGTAAAAATAAATAGATAAATCCGGGAAAGAAATCCCCATAGATTTGAGCTGAGAGCCTGAGAGCCTGAGAGCGAAATCATCGCGGAAAACTCGAGAATTGAATGGCCGGCGGTAGAGAAGGCAGCGAAAGTGAGCCGGTCGGCGATATTTATTAGCTTCGCGTCGGCGAATAAGAGATTGTAGCAGAGACGACGTTCTTAGAAGGACAAAGCGAGCTTTTGCAGAAACCAATCTACCGACATCGCAGAACCAGGGCGTTCTCTTCCGCATTTTAAGGTTCTTGGGACATTTCGTCGAGCGCCTTGTAGGTGGAAGAAAGGATGGGGAAAATTGGGATGAGAGAGAAGGAATCAGGTTGCCGCATCGTCCAGATGCGGAATCGAGAAGTCGGGGCCTTGGCTCCGCGGTCGTTCTTCCATCGTGCCTCCGCTTCTTTGGTTGGTTTATTTGGTTATATCTTTATCATTGCTTCTACCTCGATTCGCATTTAGTCTGTTAATTTGGACTTTTGATTAGTATTTTTCTGATACATATTTTTTAATTTCAAGCTTGCAATTATCTAATAGCAGTTAGAATTTTCATGGAGGACTAGTATTATGTTTTTGATGCCTTGAATTGAGGTATCTGGTCTTACATTATTTCGGTCAAACTAGGAAAAAGGGCTTCTATGGTTCTCAATGAAAACACAACAAGTCAAACCCTCGAGAAAACCTCTTCCATTTCCTTGACGGTAGTACAAATTTCTATTTGCTCGTGCTTCGAAGTCCACACTCTGCAGATTGTTTGATGAATCATCATAATCATTAGACTTATCCCGACTGTTGAGGTTGATTTAGGCTTCGTTTGGAATAGTGTTTTAGATTGTTTTCGTCATAAGAAAAAAAGTTACTAAAAAATAATGTGTTTGGAAGAAAATTTTATCACTGTACTTTCAAACCAAGACTTTGTTTAGGCAGTTTTTTTCTTTTAAAGGCTTATTTCTCAACTATAATTTCAAAAATGTTTTCCTTAAAAAATCTTTTTAAAGGTAACATATTGAAATTGTGGTGAAAAAAGCTATCTTTCAAACAGAAATTATTTTTATTAACTATTTTTCTCACAACAAAAGTAGTCAGAAAAAACTATTCCAAACAAAACCTTAATAAATCCTCATCCTTCATTCATTGTTTTTAATATTTTGTTCATAATTTCATTAGTACGTTTGGTCTTTATTTTTCCTTCCTAATTTGTTTTTATTAATTTTATCTATTTATCTTATCAATAGATTTTTCATCATATTTTGTACATATCTAAACCAACTAAATTTATTCTCCATCACTCTATCTTTAATAGGTGATACTACCTCTATCTTTAATAGGTGATACTACCACCACTCCTTTAACACGCTTAGACAATTCAAATGAAAATTTAAAAGAAAAGGCCTATTTCATATACCATTGAAGGTCAAACAAGTAACCAACAACAAAGTTAAGTGATATATTCTCATATTATGTGTAGTGTGTATAAAGAATTGACCTATTTTGTCTTTCATTGGAAGATCCATAAGCAAAATCATTGGAAAATTAGAGTTGTGAATGAATCAAGTTAAATTGTTTATAATCTTTTTCATACTTGTTTATTTCATTTTTATTGAGTTCGAGACATGCTTGTACATAATCTTAATTTTAAAATTTTGTTCAAATTTGTTTTTTTTTTAACAAGTTAGAGCTATACTTGAGCTTTGATGGAATCAAACTAATCAAACATGGATATTAATGATTGAAACAAATAATCTTATCACTAAACATACAGGCATTCATAATTTTTTATTAAAATTGATTTAATTCAGTTAATATTGTTTCTAATGTTTTATAAATTATAAAACAGAGTTTAGATATTGTCAATATAAAATTTTAATGAAAGTAAAATTAGATTTTTATTCTATCATTAATGCTATTTTTTCAATAATTTCACCATGCTAATACCACTAGTAATATAAATAGAATTTAAAGAACAATAGATATAAGAACGTTGAAAAGTAATCAAATACACAACTAAGTCACTATTAAATGAGTCAGTGCATTTGGTGGCTTGTTTTGCAGGTGGCTCCTTTGGCCTTCTTATTCTTCTCTAATACTCATGTGAGTTGTTATCCTACTTAAATTCTCTAATACTCATACACATGTGCATGCGAGGCATATGAAGACTATTTATACAGCTTAAAAAAACTTTTCTTTTGGATTGCAAATCATACTTTATATTTCAAGCTTCTAACCCTTGATCAAGTTTGTTTGATTTATAGATTAATCTTCCAGAACTTTTTGTTAATTATGATTTCGTAAGGTGCAAATTACTCAAAAAAAATAAAAATTTCATTTCTCTCTAGATTTTCACAGTAATCATCTTTCCCTCATCTTTTATTGGAATCATATGGTTTTTTATTGGTGAATCATGTTGTGATCCCCTACAATTTTCATGTCAATTAATTTGGTTGATTTCAACTTTATGAGATGAAAACTTTACACAAATCAGGTTTTTATTTTCTCTTAGTATAATGAGCATATTTTGCTCCTCTCATCAAAATGAGACAAATTTTGACTAGTGGGGTCGTGATGTGATTCTCTACTAATGTGTTCATAACTTTGACCCGTTTTGACTTTATGTTGACCAAATTGCGATTGGAAGTTTCAAGGTAAAGAGTGACAAAATAAATTTTTTAAATTCTTAATTTTGAAAGTACAAAAGTTTTGAAGATTTACCGGATGACTGAGCACTTTAAAATGGAAGTGTTCTAATGAGTGAACTTTTTATTTTGTTTCATATCATTTATGATCGTCTCACTCTTGTTGACCAAATCATGCGAGGGGTTTGCATTTTGCTCTCTCACATATTAGAGACTGATAGGTACCAACCATAAATATATTTCTTGCATCGTAGAAAATCCTTGCATGCCTCTTTAAGTGGGATATGAGGGAAAGTGTCGCCTTTTTTTTTTTGGGGGGGGGGGGGGGGGGGCTTTTTATAAAGTGTGTTAACCCCTACAAGTACTCATGCATGTTTTTTTTGCTGGCATAGTGGGGATCTAGATATAGCATTGGTGCATGTGGGAATTTAGATATTATTTCATTGCAAAGCGCACTTATATATACATTTCTTGATGTGTTGGGATAAGTGATGTCAATGTGGTTGATGTGTCTCGTGCATTGCATCATATGCATATTTATTGGTGTTGTGGGATGGCTCAACTCACTTTTTTAATGTCCACTTCATGGCGGTAACTCAAAAATGTTGTCGAAATACTCTTGGATTCATAAAAAAAGTATTATTATTCATATTTCCACAAACATGTTTAATTATGTCTAAGAAACATACATGCCTTTTTGCATGGTGGAAGTCCTAGATAAATCTCGATAGTTCACACCATCTATACATATATTTCTTGGCATGGAAGGATAGGCGACAAAAATTGTGGTCATAGTGGCTCGCGTACTGTGCATTCCATGCACATTTTTCTTGATGTCATGTGATGAACTGACTCGCTTATTTTTGCTAGTCTCTCCCTATGTAAACACACATAGGTGGGCATACATTAGACTATATATACTCAAACATTAATGAATGTAAAATGAATGAGTTTGAACCAAACATAAAGACACTCAAAGACTGTGTAGCAACAAAGTTTAATGTATAAGATACTAAAGTCTCAATTATGTGCATGCTAATAAATTGCTCATTATGAACATGGAACAAAATGTGCACTTGTGTCCACCTACAAATGAGTTTGAGCAAAACTTTTCCTTTGCCTTTCCCTAAAATAAAAGGCATTTAAGCATGCATGTTGAACAAGTCTTAGAGATTAGAAATGAGGCGCCTAGTCATTTTAAGCGTGTGCGCGCGCACACATAGATATGCCTAAGTATTATAGAAAATATTTAATACTCTAAACTCAGCACTCAATACTTTGAACCTAATTCCCAATAGTATATTGAAGCACACAATCCTATTTTTTTATTATGTACAAATGAGATTAATGCCTAAATATTATAGAAAATATAAAGAAATGGTTATAACATATTGGAGAGAGTATGGAATCTATTTGAACCTAATCCTTTGCACACAAGAAGTGTCAACACGACATGTAGATTGACAGTTGCCCAAGACATATGAAAATGTTAAAAATTCTCCACTATAAGTCTATCACGGGTCGAGCCAACTCTTCCCACTATGGACTTGAACTATACCTATCAATCATAGTTAATTAGAAGCTAGGGTTCCAAAGTTGTCTTCAATTGAACCTATCAATTCTACTAAGTCAGAGTGCCTGAGTCTTCTTCTCTCGATTGACTCGATATATTTCGCCGAGTACTTCTTGCCCGTGGTTGATTAAGGGATGCCACTTCCAGGTTTGATCTTAGTTGTGTGATGGATTCTAAAAATCACAACACCTAAAAAAGAAGGCCTACAAGTACTGAACATAAGAAGGATTCATTAGCTAGTGCAAAATATTGCCTGAATTTCCTTTCCACAAATGCAATGAGCCCGTAAAAAGAAAAAGATATATAATTCCAAGCTCTTACTCAACAAACTAAAGGCAATCAAGTTCAACCTTCCAAGTTGTAATCTTAGATCAACTAGGGATAAGTCAAGCTCCTTCAAGTCATCAATTTAGCAAGTAGTTGTTGGGTCGTAGTGAGGACACTCTCCCTCAAGAAGAGTTTCCTTGGAACATTCACTTGAGCCAACCAAGGAGCTTGCCCTATACGAGTCGAATCATGGATCGTTCGTTAGTCAAGCAGATCGTTCGTCAGTCAAGCAGATCGTCGTTCACTGCTACCTCAATCATTATATATCACCTTAGGTCTATCATCCCCTCATCCAATTTCAACTATAGGATGACTCTTACCTAGCGCTCCATACTTTCCCTACCAACACTGATCACAACATATTCTCTTGGTTATCCTGATTTATTTGCCCGTTCTCTCATGGCAATCGAAGACTTAGCATAGGTTGCTCCCAACTCCCAATCGACCTTACACTACAAAGTCCGTCTAAATCCGTATCGGCTTGCAAACTCACCGGTCACCATGGAGCCCACCCTCTATCTCACTCGCCCAGTGCATACTCAGCACTGCCTCACTCAACTAGAGACGAATCATTCATCCCAGATCTTCTGCTAATCAGGGGGCAACATGTGAATGGCATTATGCATATAATCTGTGTAGCATTGTATTTTTACTTATTATGTAATATAGTCTTTCATGTAACACTCATAATTTTATAAATAAGGGATGGTGAGAATAACTTTTGGGGATCCAAAAAAAAAAAACAAGATCAATTTGACTAGTAAGGAAAATTCTACTTGCTTAAGATCTCCAATTCTCCTCCATTATCCCTCTGTAGTCTGTACTCTCCATCTCATAGGTCTCTCAGCTCCTCGAGTAGGCCTGCTAGTAAAGACGGGTGTCATCCACTGATAAATTGAATTCAATAGGTTCAATTATCAATATATCATAACCATAGAGTTTCTAATACTGTCTTCATAACCAATTGCCTCATTGAATATCAAGTAAGATATTGAAGATTCCTAACCCCTGATTAAAGCTGAGGTCATTAGAAGATTGTGACTGGAGAGGTCATAATTCACATGTGGCTTGAACACTCAAATGCAAAGACTCTGAGGGTCCTCTTCAATCAGTCAAAAGGCCTCAAAATGCAAACAATAAGAACTTCAAACCTTATAAAGCTTTAGCAAGCTGAGCATAGAAGTGAAAAAACTGTCACGTCAATTACCACTTTGTTTGCCTGTAATTTTGGGGAAATTTTATGATAAGATTTTTTGGTAATTATAACAAGTATATGCATAAAATACTTATCTTGAAATAAGTTAACCTTTTCCAAATATGTTTTAGTAAAAACTGTTGATCCATTCTTTTTTTTTTTTGTTATTTTGAAAGGCATATCAATCCATCGATGTAGAGACTAAATACTGATAAATTTTTTGAATCTCTTCTTCATACTCCCAATATCATGTTCTTTGAGCAAATTCAAAGGAATTAGTTTTGCCATCTTTTTTTTTCTTGTTTCTCTGTTTTTTTTTTTCTTTTGGTTAAATATTGCATGAAAACCATTAAAAATCCTTCTATAATCTTTCCTCTCTAGTTTTATCCATCCTTTTTATGATTTTTGCTTATTTCAAAGCCATTATAGTTCGCTTTGCTTGCACGCTATTGTATTAGGAATTCAATGCAACAATTAGCAGGATAGTAATGGTATGGAGAAGCTAAGCATGTGCAGTTTTTTTTGCATATCTTCAGGATTTGAACTATTGGTGTGTGTAGAGGGTAGGAATTTGACTCTGCTGCGTAAGTACCGCAAAGTTTTTGAATTTTGTATAAGCTAGTCAATTTCTAGACATTTTGAGCTTTCTTATGTAGTTCAAACACGGTTCAATTAACAGGGGACTGGCCTAGAGTGATGGTTAATGTGTCTCTATTTAGCACTCACGCCATGTTATCACCCTTTCCTCATTAATCTTTTCAAAGGTTATGATTCTTATAAAATATATTAAATCGATCTCATCTTACTGTGTGTAATCATAAAATTATTTTATTTGTGCAGGATCTTGTTTTCCGCCTTGGAATCCATAGGAAGTTGGACAAACATAGAGGTTGTGTAAATACTGTAAGCTTCAATGCAAATGGCAACATTCTTGTTTCTGGTTCGGATGATAGAATGGTAATGCTATGGGACTGGGAAACGGGGCTCGCTAAACTATCGTTCCACTCAGGTCACAGTAACAATGTTTTCCAGGCAAAATTTATGCCCTACACAGATGAAAGGACAATGGTTACATGTGCTGCTGATGGGGAGGTCCATCTCTTCCACTTTCTTGCACATAATTTTCAACTTGTAGATGTTGTATTGTCTTACATGCACCAACGAAAGCTTGTTTTCTTAAATTTGTAATTTTTTTATGTAATTCACCAGGTTAGAATGGTACGATTACAAGATGGAGGACGTGTTTTCACAAAAATGCTTGCTCGACATGAGGGCCGGGCTCATAAAATGGCACTTGAGCCTGGAAATCCTCACATACTGTATAGCTGTGGTGAAGATGGTCTAGTTTATCATGTTTGTGTTGTTTTTATGTTTTCATTTTCCAGATTTTTTTCTTGGTTTTTCTACTTGCTGCTTTTTCTTATTTTGACCATACATTCCATTTCATAGTTTGATTTAAGAACCCAGAATGCAACAAAGCTCTTCAAATGTAAAAGCTTCAAAGACAAATGGGATTATATGCCAGTTGTTCACTTAAATGCTATTGCAATTGATCCAAGGAACCCAAATTATTTCGCTATCGCCGGATCCGATGAATACGCCAGGGTTTATGATATTCGCAAGTGCAGGTGGGATGGGAAAGGATGTGGCAATCCAGCTGACTGCTTCTGTCCTGCACATTTGATTGGTGATGATCAGGTTGGTATAACAGGATTGGCCTTCTCAGATCAAAGTGAGCTTCTGGCTTCATACAATTTTGAGGCGATATATCTTTTCTCCAAGGACCAAGGACTGGGTCCTAATCCAGATTTAGCAACCCCAAGGTCTGCCATGAGTGTTGATGCAATCGACAACGCCTTCGAAAACTTAGTTCTTCCAGCTACCGAAGATCCAAATGCTGGAGATGCAGTGCAAGTCTACAATGGCCATAGAAACTGTGTAACTGTGAAAGGAGTGGGCTTTTTTGGTCCAAACTGTGAATATGTTACTAGTGGATCTGACTGCGGTCGTGTATTTATCTGGAGGAAAAAAGGAGGGGAGCTGTTGCGTGTGATGGAAGGGGACAAGCATGTGGTAAATTGTATTGAACCTAACCCATCTGCCACCATGCTTGCTAGTTGTGGGATCGAAAAAGACATTAAGATATGGATACCAAATGCCAAGGAACCTGCTGTGCCTATAGATATTGACGAGGTTTGCGTGTACTCTTTTCCTTATTAAATACGTTATCTCCTGTTGTTGGATCTGCTTTCCTTTTTTGTGCGGTTTGTTAAGTTGCAAGATTCAGCCATTATTTAAGCTATATTTTGCCAAGTATTTCTTGAACAAGATAAATCTTATTACCTTCTTAAATCCTGTTTTAGGCTTAGTTCTGAATATATTAAATCCTGGGTGAAGTAGGATATAAGAGATCTACACCACTTCTCATCTTCTTCTCATTATGTATTTTATTTCATTTCATTTAAATCATAAATCTTAAAACTATTTGTTAAATAATTTATTAGGATTTTGTTAGGCCGGCTCCTCCTGAGCCGGCTGAACCGGTCCCTAGTGGACCGGTTTGGTGTATAGCCAGCATCCCAAATTGGACGGAACCAAGGAAGAGAGGGAGGGAGGAGCGGAAGCTCCTAGGGGCCCACTTGTTAATTAAATTTGCTTTGGAGGAATTTTTGAATTAGGGGGTTGATTAGGAAATTTGTAATTGTCTTTTGATTTTAATTAGGTTCTTTTGGTGAAGGGATGCATGATTTGAATTTTCTTTGAAGTTCCTTGGCGTCTTGGGCTCTAGATTCATCGTCTAGAGATTGGGAGAGAACGATCCTCCTCTCGATTTGAGGATCAATTGTATCTTTGCTTGATCTCACTTTTGGTTTGATTCCTACAATACATTCTACTGTTTTTGAATTGTTTTCATTGGAGATCTTGCATTATTTCTCGCTGTTTTTCATTGGAGGGGCGGTAGCAAGTTACTATATTCTATTGCAAAATGAATTTGTTCCTTTATATATTCCTTTTGACTTCCCAGTTCCCTCACACTAATCTAAATTTATATTTTTTTTTTCTTTCTAATTTGAACTTTCATATTCTTTCTATGAAGTAGGAGGTTAGCTCCACCTCATTGGTGTCTACTTTACATGAAGTTTTGTGGATGTATTTACTGTATAAACATCTCTTCTGTTGCTTGCTTTCTAGCAGTTCATGAAGCAAAATCCAATCAGATTCTTCTCAAGGGATGATGCTGACTTCGATATTGATTATTCTGATGATGGTGATGATGACGATGATGACGACGACAACAATGATGATAATGATAATGATGATAGTGGTGATTCTATAGACTTCCTTGATGTTGATGAATGGAGCGACCATCAATTCAGTGATAATGATTGTAATGATGATGGTGAAGAAGAAGAAGAAGATGATGATGATGGCCAGAATGCCATGCTATAATTGGCATCTATGCCTCTAAATGATGCCACAGAGTCTACACATGCGGTCTATTGCTGCCAAATAACACATTTATCCAAAGCCAAGCTGCATTAGGATCAATTTCCTCTGGTAAATGTGGATTTGATTTGAGCCTTCTCATCTAATTCAGCCTCAACTGTACATTATAAAATATAGCTGCAATTTCTTATGAAGAAGCACTTCTCTGTTACACCTACTGCAGTGTGGTTTTTTTTTTATGCTTTGGTTTGTAGAGTTCTGTTCATCTGTGTAGCATGGGAGCTTGTTAACAATTTACCTAATTTGTTTCAGTTTTTTTTGGTAGATATGTAAAAGAGATTATTAATATAGAATTTGATAAACAAATGGTTGAAATGCAAAAGAATTTGTCATAGTCGATGGGTAGAATGTTATTGTATATGAATTATTATATGTGATAGTAATGTGTATTGCTAATGGCTAGTATTTATTATTGTGATATATCAACATCAACAATGTTTTATGTTGAAAAAATAATGAAGAATTTGTTATTCCTTACATGAGAAAAGTTTATTTTGCTCAATCCAGTAAATCCATACGATATAATTCATATAGGAAGGAAGGAAGGAAGCTTTAATCGAGGTAATTAGTTTTGATTATTTATATAGATTTACATCAAATGGTAAATTGTAATCATGATATGACAAATTAGAAGCATTCAATGCCATATAAATGATCTGCGATGCATTTGAAGTTGTCTTTAACGATATCAATTCAATGCAATGTTATATTCATAAACAGTGGAAGTTTGTAGATGCTCTCATTGTATGAATAAATAGAGCCATCGCCGATATTAATAATAAGGAATTCAAGTTTGATAGTTGCGTAAGTTGAAGCCTTGCCACCAAATTTTGCTTTTCAAATGAAGAGAGAGGTGCGAGCTTAAGTCTTGCATTTACTGTTTTCATTGTAAAAGTGACGAATGAGAATGTTTCAAATAATATGCAATCAGTTATCACTCATTTATCTTTAGTTTTGGAGAGAAGCTTGGTGAACGTTAGGGGTGTAAGTGAGCCGAGCTAGCTCGACTCATTTATGGGCTCGCGAGCTTAGCTTATTGAGCTCACGGGTCCAGTTCGAGCTCAAATTTGAGCTCGTTTATTAAACGAGCACGAGTTCGAGCTTGATGGAGACTCGGCTCGCAAGCTAACGAGCCGGCTCGATTCAATATTAATAATTTAGAATACCCGTCTATTTGAGGCTGACATCGCTCGAGCCTCGAGGCGCTCTCATCGGTTGCGTGGCTCGAGGCAATTGTGTCAGTCGCGTGGCTCGAGCTCAGACGGCGGGGCGATGCAGACGGGTCACGAGCGAATTCAACAGTCGAACGACGCGGACGACACCGAACTACATGGATGATTGCCGAGGCTCGCTAGTCGGCTCGAGCTCATTTTTACATTAGAGAGAGAGAGAGAGAGAGAGAGAGAGAGAGAGAGAGAGATGGATTTAATTGCTAACCTTTTAAAATGATATAAACCTTTCTTTCTTCACATGTCTTTACTTCACTCACATCCATGTGTTTGAATGATTGAAATTTAAAATAACTTAAAAATTTTAAACTTGAAATAAACTAAAAAAACATGGGCTACCTCATCTAGCATTCATCAAATTCTATAATATGCTAAAACATAAGCAAAACAGTTCCCAATAAATCTAACTATGCTCAAACTCAGTATTTTCCATTATAAATATCATTACATATATTTTGAGGTATAATTAGCAAAACTAGAATGTTCATATTTTAGTTCAAGAGTCCTTCCTCATGATCCATGCCCCCCAATTCCTTCATAACCCAGTGGTCCACCATTTGAGAAATTATTCTGTGTAGACACCGGACCGTTCGGAGGTGAATTAGAATGTGTCACGTCATCTGGTATGCAGCGATACACAGACGCAGTACACAGCAAATGAGTGACATGGCACGTTCTGATTCGCCTCCAAATGACGTCAGTATTTGCATAGAATAATTTGGCCCTCCATCCTGCATTGGTTGGTATCCTTGTTGTCTATCTCTAGGTGTACTAGATTAGTTTTGAATGAAAATGGATCTCATTTTCAAGAAAAAAAACAAGATCATAATATATTGGAATTGAAATTGTGGAATGTGCTCAACAAAGTCATATATAACCTCTAATTTCAAACTAAATTAGTTTTTTTTTTCTATCTTTGCAATTTTATAGATAAGATCTATGATATATTCAAAGGAAATACTTCTTTGTATAATCAATTATTTGATTCTTTTTTCTATAAACATCCAAGTCTGTTTAAGCCTTTGAGCATTCGTCTGAATAAGATTTGAACTTGCGCTCAAACTTTATCGAAATCGAAACTTTGTTTGATCGTGGTTCAATCGAACTCATGATCGAACAAGGTCCAAAACAATTTTTTTCGAATTTCTATCTACAAATATATTAGAGCTCCATTAAAATAACATAAATGGTTTGAATCTCATAATATATGATACATGCATTAAATATCTCTTACTATTATATGTTAAAGTTGCCATTAAATAATTTTTTCTTATTGAGCTTTATTGGATTTTGCTAAGTGAATATATTGCAAATAGAAAGACAATGAAAGTTATGAAGTATGCACAGAGTTGAAAGGAGCATGCTTATGCCTATATAGTAGGAAATATTGTTCTGTGCGGACCCCGGAGGACATCTGGAGACCAATCAAAACGTATCACGTCACTTTTTGCTCAGTACTGGTGCACGGTACTGCTTGATACCGGGTGATGTGACGTATTTTGGTTGGTCTCTGGACCGTCCAGTATCCGCACATAATACTTTCTCATATAGTAGAGATAAAGGTATTTAAAAGAAAATTTTGAATATATTTATACAAAAAATAGTAATCTTTTATGAAATATGATTATTATGAGATTATGAGGCTAAAATTAACTACTAATTTAGCTTCAACGCTTATTTTTGAAGTAAAAAAAAAAATCATGATTATATTTTTAAATCCTATACATTTGTAACTAATGCCTGTAATTAGCTTGTATATATATAGAGTAAAACGAGATGCTCGTAGCTTGGCTTCTATGGCTTCCGTCTCCTCCCCTCGAGTACCTAATTCGCAATCGTATCCCAGCGCAGCGAGGCTTTCGGATTCCCTTTGCTTCCCTCAGTACACCGCTTCTCTCAAATGTAATTTCTTCGTCTCGTTTCTCTCTTCGTTTTTATTTTCGCATGCCCTAGTTTGATCTACCTCGTTAGGTTATTTCGCTTGAAGCAACATAGAAGCATCTACCAGGAGATGATCAATTTTCGAGGTTTTTTGGGGGAACTGAGTGGTCCAACAAAGTTCTGAAACGATGCGTAACGAATTAGATTGGTGAATATTATAAATACCGGGGGATTGGGAATTGTGATAATGATAAAGAGATGAGAAGGGAAGAATTTAAAGCGATTATGGATTGAGAGATGCTCCTTGAACCCATTTTTTTCTGAAAACCTAAATGGCATGAAATCTAAAAAAAAAAAATATTATAGAGTAGTATGTAAAAGAAATAATGGATACGATTGTGTGCGTTTTGGTAGGTTTTGCAAATGTGGGTATGGATAATTAGGGTTAATTTATGGACTTACGCTAAATTGGGGGTGCTTATCCGAAAGGGGTTTTTATTGATATATCACCATAAACTTCTACATTTGCTAGTATACGATTTGATTCATTATAATTACTGGTGTACCATCTTATTTTCTTAAAGTTTTCTAATACACCTTCCTAGTTATATGATTTTAAGCTAATATAATATTCCGTTTAATGCATTTAGGAAACTATAAATTTATTTGGAAGTCATATGCATTTCTCTTTTTTACTTTAGATAAAAAGATAAATCAATCCTAACGGATGGAATTAAGTTACTTCTTTTATGAGAAGTTTACACAAAATATTAATCACAAAATTAAAATGGCAAAAATATATTTGATTGTTTTGATTTACTGCAAATAAATTGTTAATGTAAAATAACATGATTGATTTTATATTACTGATTTTATAGCATAGAATGATGATACAGAAGGAAATCCACTAATGTTTTGGCTCCATTTTAAATTAATATTAGCTGTAATGTTATACATAGGAACATTCATAAATTGTATGCTTGTGTTTAATTTTGACTTATTTTGTGAAACTTCATTGTTAAAATGTAGTTGCATAGAAGTTACTTCTAGCGGAGCTTATAAACACTTAATTGTTATTATTATTATTTTTCAGGAAAACCTCCCAAAATTTTTTTCCTTAGATACAACAATGGTTGTTAGTTGTGACTAGGTTCTAGTTAATCATGTCTTGTTTATGTTCTATTAAAATATTGAAAATTTTGAAAGTATTGTTTTCCTTTTATATTATTTTCAACCTGCTAAAGATACTGGAGAGATACAGAAAATGCAACCACGGGAAACCAGAGATAAATAAAATATCAAGAGAGACATTGTATTATACTCTTTTCAATGAAGTCTCAAATTCATTTCCAAGCCACACAACATAAAAGGCAATCGCATTATGGAGAAGACAAAATTTTTGTGTTCATAAATGAAATTGGCATTTGATTTCCACAAATCATTCTCACAACAAGACAATTCAATGAGCTGTCAACAAAACATGCATCAATCTTTAAATAAGATATAAATATTGCTAAACTCTCTCAACCTTCTTTGAGCACAAACATTTTTAGAACTATACTACTTTTTAATGATTGGAGCTGCCATAACTTCCATCTGACTTTAAAATGGATCAAGTTGTGATGATTCATTATATGTTGATGTTGCAGATGCATGATCCACTTAGTTTAACCTAACGACGTCAAGAACAACATCAACATCAAGCCTTTATCCCAATCATAACATGAATCCTTTAATACATTTGGTTAACCTGATAAAAAGGGCAAAAAAATTGTTATATGTAAATTGACATGTGTAAGCAATTATAAACAATGAATAATTAACTCAGTTATGTCTAGTTAACATGCATTCTTCTTTAGATACTCCAACTCTCCCCCTTGAACCTGCAAGACATCTCTCCCTTCAAGTTCTACTACCCCTCATTCTAGAATCTCTGCTCCTCCTTCTTCTAGTAGTTTTATAGTTTCATTCTCTAATTCCACGCCTCTAAGGCTACATTAAGTTGGTTGTTGTGATGTGCTTTCTAGAATAATTGGAAGTATTCTGGTGATAACCAAATTCATGACTCCTTTTCCATTGATCCCTACTTGGAAGGGTGGAGTTTATACCTATCTTTTTTCTTCTACTATTGCATGGAGGCATATTTCTTGTGCAAATCATATGGGTATCATACACTCCAGATTGTAAACTCTAAACATGCCAATCTGGATAAATTTTTTTAATAATTTTAAATATGTGCACAAGGCAAATGGATGTTCTGAATTAGGCAACAATTCCTTTAAGACCTTTGCCAATTATTTCTCCATGCCAGACTTTAAAAACTGATGCAATGAACATCCTACGCAATGCCTTGATTAGGTGCTCTATGAATCCTCCCCATGCAATCATAGGCTTAGACCTTCATATTTGTATGGTTAGCTTCATAGGCTTAGACCTTCCCACTTTTGTTTTTTGTCTTGGGAAGGCAGATAGTATTTCCATACTTGCTATGTACTTTTACTTCTTTTAATCAATGCAAATGCAACTTTCAAGAATCCTCCCCATGCCAAATATGATTCCAACTCAACACTATAAAATACACTTACAATACATCATTAGTGCCATCTAGTGTTGTAGCAGATATTTACATCCCAAGATATTTTCCCTTATGTGTATGAGGCAGATGCGATGTTCTGAATTAGACAAGAATTCCTTCACTAACCTTGCCAATTATTTCTTCATGTTCGACTTAAAAATTTATGCAATGTACATTCCCACTCAATGCCTCAATTACTTCTATGAATCATCCAATGTCATTTACGTTTCCAACTCAAACTTTATAAATGCTACTTATGATAAACCATTTGTGCTTTCGAGTGTTGTAGCAGATATTTACATACCAAGATATTTTCCTAAAAATGAAGTTCATCATGGACAATAAGCGTCCGGCATCCCAATTTAAACCTATCTACTTATGCCCTAAAACTCTCAAAGGACCTCTCAAATGCCTTGTCCCTTACATTGTATGTGCAGATTATATATCTACCTACATTTTTAACCATTAGTTCCTTTGTCAAAGATCCACCTATAATTTTTTTCGGGAGAGCTAAATAATTGATCCCTTACAACTTCCCTAGATTGCCATGCTTTTCTATAAGACATTAAGAAGCTATCTATATCTTCTGTACTCTTCCCAATCATAACAGTTGCAATCTCAGGATATTTGACAGGCATCTATGTCTTCTGCACTCTACCCAAGCATAACAGTTGCAATCTCAGGATAATGCTTGACAGGCATCTGCTTATGTATGATGAAAATCATATCCACTTCTGAAATTTAAACACTGGTAGTTTACATGCTTAGAGGCTGAGCCTTGAAGTAGTTTTTTTGTTGCCCTTACTATGATATGAAGCTCACATGTTATCTGTAAGCACTTTCTATGTTAACGTTGAGATTAGACCTCAATATGAACTCTTAGTGTGATTGGCAACAGCTGGAATCTTTTTTATTTGCCATGCCCTTTTAATATCCTTTTCTTACACACTTATATATAATTACTTTATATAAGCATAAGCTATCAATCATTCTCTAAGTAGTTGGGTGAACCTTTGGTTGATGTTAATAATTTCATTTTAAGTCTTTTTTTTTTATATTTAGAAACAGTAATATTAGAGAATGCAAAATTTTATCTTAAGGATCTTCTTCCCCTTCCAAAATAATGACTGTTTAGATGGGAAAGGATGAAGCGGCATAATCATGGAAATTAGATATGATAGAGTGCAAAACTAGTAACCTAAATTTTAAACTACCTATGCCCAATATGACAAATCGCCCTTAGGTAAAGCTTCTTAACTAACTGTTATATTAAATATCAAATTTTCATATCATATATGTACTCCATATTCAGTAGAGCATATAAGAAATCAAATAAGCATGGATCATAAGAAAGTTAAAGTTTTATTTAATGAAAAGATGTTAGATGTGAAAATGCTGTCCAGACATGATGTTATTATTACGTCATCCAATTTTGTTTATTAAGAATGTATTTTAGATATCTGAAAAATATCTACAAAGGATCCATGAAAGAATGAATCTAGAAAAAATATATAGAGAATATGTGCATGATTACCTATCTATTGTGTATACAATGGTTTCCGTTTGATTCTAGAACATTGCACTGTACAGATTTCGAAGCTTCTTTAAAATATCTGAATTTATATTTTCATGTGAGTTTTCAGGTCTGGAAGTTAATTACCAAGATAAAAGCAAATGTCAATTGCTATTTGATGATTACAAAGAATGCAAGAAGAAGGAGGTTTAATACTCTTTTCCATGTCATTATTTAAAATATTCAATATTCTTCATCAATTCATGTTGTTTACAATTTTTTACTCTAAATTATATATTCATTTTGAGAGATGGTCACTAGACTATTTATGAAGGTCTTTTTTAGTCTCATATTATATAATGTATCTAATTTAATCTTTTGACTTTTCAAATTTGATCTATATTAGTCTCTTGAATCATTAAATCTGGTAAAAAATAATCCAATAGAGGAGCTATTTTATATCACATTTGATGAGTCAAAGGAATAAATTAAACACATTAACTAGATGGGACTAAATTGTCTCCGCACAAATAGTTTAGAGATCATTTTGACAAATTTCTCAATTTATTTCTATTTTGTAGAAAGATTTTGTACGGTTGAGTTCTTATATGTGGTATATAATATTGATTTGATTAAAACAGACATTACAACATTTTACAATTTTTCTATTCAATGTTAGTTCATGGAAGTAATCAGATTAAAAGACATTTACGTAACTATTATTAAAACTCTCTAAAAAAATGGTTGAGTAAATGTCTATCTTATGATCCTGAAATTGAACAACATTATAGAGAAATCCGAACTAAGGGATGGGTAGGCCTCAAAAAAGATGCACTTAATGATAGTTAGCTGAGATGAATAGAATTCACTTGGGTGATTAAAGAGAGATTTTTTATTCAGAATCATCTTGAAAGATTTTCCTATTTTTAACTC